CCTCCTCCTCCTCCTCTTCCTCCTCCTCTTCTTTTGAACTCCTGATTCAAAAGAGACCACAACCTATTCTTGAGTGTCATCCCCAGTACATGGATTGTGGGCATGTTTCATTCTTTCCTTTTTCCTATTTCTCAGAAGTTAAACCCTTTAAAGAATTAGCCCCAAACTTGGAGCGACTGGTCCTTGAAAGAGTTCCAAATGATAAAGCCTGTCCTTCATTTCGAATACATAACACATTGTGAAAATGCAGGACAATTAGTCAGTTCCCAGGTTTGAGTTGGAGTCCCAGCTTCCTTGGTTCCTTTGCAATGGAAATCTGAAATCCAACCTGGGGGCAGGAAGCACAGAGCCTGTGGCTCTCCCGGGTTCTGTCCTGCCTGTATCACACACTAGCGCTAGCTTCCCTTTCGGTGACCTGGTACTAAAAGTTTGCACCACATCTGAAGCCTGGGGCGGGTGAAGAAGAGAAAGAACTATCACAACGCAACAAAGTGAACAACTGGAGGGCAAGAGCCCCTCGGATGTGCTATATTCGCCTTAGGGATTTCCAAGAGCATAACTTGGGGGAAAGGATCCAGGCTTCTTGCTTGCCAGCTGAAGGCAGAAAAAAGGGAGCCCCGTGAAGCCGTCTGGGGGAGCAGGGCTGTGAGCGGACAACAGAGAGACCTGGCTCCCATTTGCACATAGCCCACCAGGGCCCGCCTAGGGAGATGAAGCCCACCGGTGGCACGTGCATTGTTGACACGCAGACACGCAGGCGTGCGCTAATGGAGGGATGCGCGACTGAGCATCCCGCCCCCCCACGCCTGCATTTCTTGCAGGCATGACTTGTTTAATGGCCAGGGAATTGAGTGCCTCATCCTCATCCCCCCTCTTTTTTTTTCCCCTAAGAAATGTAAAAAAAGAACATATACAGCCTACATATTCTGAAGAAACTTGAATTTTTTTTCTTGAAAAATACCCAGTGCCATAATATTTCTGATTTAAGGGGCGAGAGAAATCTTTGAAGTGAAGGAAATCAGTGGGGGACGAACTAGCTTTTCCTGATTTTTTTTGTGCTTCTCCTCAAAGCCAGTAATGGGATTTAAAATCAGAGATTCCCAGTCCTTGTACTCCCTCCCATTCTATTTGGCTCTCTTTGCCCCAGAAAATCTGGGAGGTAACTGACTGCACGTCTAAGGGGACAGTTTAAAGAGAATCAAGGTTTGGGGAGCGCATCAACTTTCTCTTTTACAAATAAAGTTGGAAAAAAAATTTCCGAGGACAATTTAAGCAACAAACGACATCGAACAGATATTTTTTCAAAGCAAAATTTTCTGATTCGTTTGTTTCCCGTTCTTAGATATAGAGAAAAATGTGAATTCGATCTTCCCGCGCGCGGCTGGCACGAAATTTGGGGCCGAGCTTGGTTGAAGCTGGTGGGTAAAGGGCAGGGCGCGACACGGTTGTCCCGGAGGAGCCCAGGGCGTGACAGGCCCAGGGCACCCTGGCTGGGGCTCGGGTTAGTTGCACTTCCCGCCAAGAGGCCTTCTGGTCCAGCCAGTGTCAAGGCAGCAGGCAGGGCACTGGCCCCCTGTGAGCTTGGGGCGCCCCTTGCAGCCACCTCCCTGTTAAATTCCAGAGCTCAGCGGGGCAGGAGGGACATTTGACGCCAGTTTCCTGTGGCCCGGCATAGGACGCACCCTTTTCACTCTCCCGCCCCCGCTGGAGGAACCTTCCACTTCTCCCCTCCTGGTCCCCAAGAACCACTGCCCAGAGAATCCCGGCAGTTTCCCAAGGTGCTGATCCAGTTCACGGAGCCAGCGCGCGCCTCCCGGATGTGTGGCGCACCCATCCCCATTTCGGGAACCTTTTTGTCCCCTAGCTTGGGTTCAGGGAACGAAGCCAGGGAGTTCTGGCCCCTGGAGACAGTGTCTGGGACGTTAAGGCCACCACAGAGCGGCTACCCTGGGACCCTGGCGCCCCTTGCAGGTGCGCACAAGGCATGGCTCCGCAGCCCCTCGACTGGGCGGGGCAACACGCCCCAGCAGAACAATTCGGTCAACTCCATCGCTCCCAGCTGGGGGCCCCAGAAAAACCACTAGGCCAGGGACCAGGCCCCACCGGAGACCTGGGAAGGAGAGGGCACGGCGGCGGACGCACCTCCTGCTCCAGCCTGCACGGCCCTGGCGCAGCGCCTTACTCCTGTTCACTCCCCACCCGGGGCCCTTCGGCATTCTACTGCTTTCCCAAGGCTCCGCTGCCGCTGCCCGGTTATTCCAGCCTCTTTCAGATCACAAGTGTCCTTCCCTGCTCCATGGGGCGCTGATGTGGGGAAGCCAAGATGCGAGCCCAACCCCACTGCAGGAGGAACTGGGCAGGAGTCCCAGGCAGCCCCTCCTGGTCTGGGGAAAGAGGGAGATTCTGTACCCCTCAGTCCCAGGAGCAGAGCTGGGAGTGGAAAACCCCAGGGGCCCTGTTCTCCACGGAGGCCGACCAGAAAACCGACTGGCCAAGGAGATGGGAGTGGATGTTTAGGTTAGCAAAAGGCCAACTCGAGGGGTTCCCGTGTCTGCACATCCCCCTCCCTCTCATTTTGTCTGGTAAGAAAAGGAAAGCAGGCAGATTTTTGCGGACCCCTCTTTCCGCAGTCTGGGGATGCTGCTGCAGGAAGAATTGCTCCCAACAACGCTTAAGGCACTTGAATGCTAAAGGTTAAACTTACAGCCTTCAGGGAAGGGCTTCTTGCCAACTGGAATAGTGGGGTGAGCTGCCACAGGTCCTCTGCCACCTCACCCTGGCCCCCTGCAGGTATAGCCAATGCCAAGGCTTTTGGGGTTTGTGTACTTCAGAGACAAGAGCCCTGAGTCCTGTGGTGCTAGCTCTTCCCTGCCCCCCACCTCTGGGATTCTTTCTCGCCTGGTCTCCCTCATTATTTTGCCTTTGGCTGTTTGTACCTCGATTTACCCTTGAGATCCCTTCCTGCCTGGTGGACTTCAACTTGGACCTGCTGAGGAGCTGGAGAGAATCCTTCTTTGCAACAGAGATGCAAGGTTCACACTGGTGCACACTCTAGGAAAAACCACATTCCTTGACCCTTTGTTCTGGGGAATTAGAAGCCCCTGCAGCTAGTAACAGGTAAGACCACAGCCATAACAATGAACTTAGAGCTCAGTTTTGGAAGGGTCTGTAAAGAGATATTGGCTGAGAGGGGGGAGTAAGGGGTCAGTTTTTAGGGAAGCTTTTCCCAAATGAATAGCCATGGGGGTGTCTATCCCTAGGATCCTGTGCTGGGACTAGGACCAAGGGCACTTCTTTCCCTTCCCTCTGGATCCCCTACTCACCACACAATGATGGCAAGATTCAACTCAGCATCCTTAAAAAGGATATTCCCACAGGAGATTAGTAGGGCTGGGATTTTTGTTCTCAGGAACCAGGCAAGGTGCTCATAATCTCTTCCCCTCCCTGAAGACCCCACATTTGTTGAGCACCTACTATGTATTAACTCCCTGCTAGGCATCTTACCTGAAATTATATTCAATTCTCCCGGTGGCAATGGAAAACTAATACTATTAGTCCCATCTCATAAAAGAGGAATATCATATCCAGAGAGGTTAAGTTGCTCACTTAAAGTCACATAGCTTTTCTGAGGCTCAGCCTGAATTGGAACCCAGATCTGTCAGGCTTTACAGCTACTTCTATTATACCCACTGACTGTTGTCAAGGTCAGAACCAGGGAACCAAGGGAAGAGAAGAGATAATGCAGATGGGCTGAGGGGAGGGGAAAGCAAAAAAATCTGGGGAGAGTGTTTGGAGTTTTATATGGATTCGGAGTAACATTCATGGCTAGGAGACAAGTCACTGACCATCATGGAGGATGGTCATTAAAAGAAAAAAGCAAGGGGTTGGGGTTGTGGCTCAGTGGTAGAGCGCTCACCTAGCATGTGCGAGGTGCTGGGTTCGATCCTCAGCACCATATAAAAATAAATAAAATAAAAGTATTGTGTCCAACTACAACTAAATAAAGGAAAAAAAGTAAGGAAATATAACAACATGAACAAAACCCCAGGATGACAGCCACAGAGGTTAAGCCCTGAAACGATTGCCAGTGTCCCCTGGGTTTGGAATCAGGACTACTCAGAACCAGAGCCCTCACTTGGCTTTCATGTTTTCTTTGAAAATTTTCTTACTCTGTCTGAAGCTGAGACAAGTTCCTTACTTCTGTGAGTCACAGGACT